GAATAACCAAGGCCTCCGGATTAGGAGCACCGGGGGGGGGTCAGACCGCTGTTGCGATTGAAACCGAGCAGAAGAGCCAGAAAAAGAAGAATGAAAGCATGGCACCGGCTCCCGGGAGCCTGACGGGAGGATGGCAACTTCCAAGCGGCGGCACGCGTGCACATCCACACATCCGTAGGCCACCATGCCATGAGTGGCAGACGCATGTCTGGCCGTGTCGCCCTTTGGCGTGTGTGTATGTGCGCACCGGATGCTGACTTTGATGCGCCGAGGGGCGGCAGCTGCCATGGCCGCGAGATCATCACCGGTGTGGGCGGCATGAGCTGCGCTGCTGGCAGTGGCCATGCTCTCGACCGGGCCAACTGGCCGAGCCATGGGGGTGTTCGAGGCTTCGGGGTTTGCTGTGGAGGTCCCAGCCGCGGGGGGGGAATCGCGCTCTCCGCGGAAGCCGGCTTGGATGTTGAGCCAAAGCAATGGCGAGAACATATGCTCCTCCGGGGCGGCAGCAGTGGCGGCAGCGGCGGAAGGGGGGCTGCTCGGGGACTCGCCAATCAGCGGATGGTCTCGGGCAGTGATCCAACTGGCCCAAAAAGCGAGCGCCGTCTCAGCCAGGGACGAGAGACTAGGGAAGCCGGCTTCTGGCTCGGCAGTGGCGGTGGCGGTGGCGGTGGCGGTGGCGGTGGCGGTGATGCCCCCCACGGCAGAGAGTCCCGGAAAGAGGAGCAGCGAGCTGGCGTCGGTTTCGACGCTGGTGGATTCAGACTCGGAGAGCGGCCCGGGGTATGGACGAGCTCGGGCGGTGGCGGTGGCAAATGCCCGGCGGCGGGCGGTCGGCGGGCTGGCAAGGAACTCGGCGGTTCTGGGGGCCGCGGTGGCACGACGGCCGGCGAAGTCGGTGAGTCTCTCGGCGGGGACGCGCCAGGACACGGCTTGGGAAGGGCGAGTGCGGGGAAGATTGGAGGCTGTTGGCGGTGCTGGATGGGCAGCCGGCGACCCGGATGGCTCTTGCGGCTGTGGCGGCTGCGGATGTGGCGTCTGTCGCGCTTGGGGTTGCTGTGTTTGCGGTGACTGTGGCGCAGCGGAATCCTGCGGGACGGGAGAGGGGGCGTTCGGTCGACCCGGGCGGCTACCTGGGCCGTACTGCTGCTGGAAGTGCTCCAAAAGTTCCTGGAAACGGACGGCTACAGAACCAGAGATGAAGTTGTCGTCGCCGAAGAAGAAGAAAGGCATATCAGGTGGTTGTCTGGGCGCCACGAGGAGAAGTCGACATGGGGCCTGTCTCCTCGGTCAGTGTTGATTTTTCTCACACTGGCGCGCGCGGGTGGGGGAGAGAGGGGGGGGCGGGGAGGGGCGAGAGGGGGAAACAGCCAACGTAGGCCCGAGTGGGCGCTCGAGTGGGCCGAGCACAAGCCGGAATGCGGGCGAGTGGAGGAGGGGCGGAGGCGCGGGGAAGTTGCAGGGTCAAGGGGATAACCCAAAGTGTGGATGCAGGCTGAGAGCAAACAAGTGGGTGAAAGAGGGGGGGGGGGGTGTGTATGGTACGACAAGTGCAGTCGGAACACGCCGGCATGGGTTCCGATGAAGATCGGCTTCAATGGGAAGAGCATGAACTCATCTCCACCTGGCAGCTTGCCTCATACAGACGGACAGACACACACACACACACACACACACACACACACACACACACACACACACACACACGCTGGCGCGGCTTCACGAGAGTCAATTGCGCCTGAGGGCTAAGCAGGCCGAAGGAGCCTGGGCGACTCGACTACAGACTGCACAGTTGCAGGAGGCAGCGAATCTTTTTTTTAAAATATCACTCCCGGTGGAGCGTTGTGCATTCCGGGCGAATCGGAATGCACGGTGGCTACCCCGTCCCCTCGCCCCCATCCCCAAATTGCCGTGTGTCCCGCCCATAGACACACAAACACACATACACACATACATACTAACGCTTACGGCCATCCTCGGGAAGACCATGCCACAAGGAGAGGGCCAAGAGAGGCACGCTCGACAAGGCTCCTCGATACGACTGGCTCGACCAGTTGACCAAGGTGCCGGGGCGGCCCCCCACCAGGCAACGCAGATCACTTCCCAACTCTCTAACAGTCCAGCCCCCGGCCCCCACCACCCATACCAGGAACGCCCATGTGTGCTCAGATGTGATTGGCCCCAGCCTCGAACCAGGCAGATCGCCAGCCAGCAAGGCCGAGGCAGCCCCAGGGCATAGTCAAGCTTCCATGGCGATGTGTATTTGTGTGCAGCTCACACATTCGGCCTCGACGCAGGATTTCCATTCTCAGGCCACCCCCCCCACGCGGCCGACCCCCCCCCCCCCCCCCCCCCCCCCCCCCGTTACACACAACCATGCATGCACAGCGAGGGATGGCCGCAACAATGCCCGGATCCCCCGGCCCAGACCACCCTGGCTGGATCGCGGAAAGCCCACAATTGGAATGCCAACTGTCGATGGTCCACAGCACGTGATATGTATTATACCCCACAAGCACGACGCCCTGGCGCGAATGACCTCTGGCTAATTCCCGCGCGTGCCACTGGGACCCTCCTCCCCTCGGCCGCCACCCGCCCAGGTGCCCGCCCAGCCCGCCCACCTCTCCCCCCACCGCTCCCCCCCCCGGGGGGGGGGGGGGGGGGCGATCTCACAAAAGGTCAGGAGCATCGGCTGTGAACAGGAAAGGGGAAAGGCCTGTGATTGACAGAATACCGGGAAAGGGGGGGAAAGACATGGCGAGGGGTAGCAGGGCATTGGTCGGGGCCGCGCCGGGAGGGAAAAGACGAAGACCAACCGATGGCACCCTGTGTGTGCGTGTGTTGCGAACGGGGTCCGGGGCTCCGCTATTGCTGTGTCGCCAGGCCGGGCGATGCCGATGGCGAGGCGGACACCTGTGCCAGAGTACCCAACTGACCCAGCAGGTCGGCCGGGGTCAGGAGCTCGGTGGCGCCGTAGTAAATCTTCCTTCCCGGAGTGCGCTGGAAGCCACCGAGTGACAAGGCCGACGGTCAGGCGGGATCGATGCGGGGCGAAGTGACACAATGCCCAGGCCAAGCCAATGAACACGGAGACAGAGAGAGAGAGAGAGGGGGGGGGGGGGAGAGAGAGAGAGAAGGGGAAATAGGGCATATGGAAAGAAGGAGCCCAGGGGGAGAGATACTGACAGAGGGAGAGAGAGAGAGAGAGAGAAGGGGAGGGGGAGAATGAGC